ATACATACATACACGTGTGTGTATATAGATGCTGGACTCACTTCTTCCCAGCACAGGCCTCCTTGTCTTGGTCTGATCCAGTTTGGCCCAGTTGTAGGTCGGTGTTGGGTTTCCCTGCTCACTGTGGCAGGTCAGAGTGACCAGGTGACCCGATTCAACATTGCCATGGATGGCGCAGTAAGGAGCAGATGGTTTCTCTGGCGGAGCACAGGGAAGTTAAGGCTTTATTGGCTACTTGACATTATTACAAAGCACACATTCAGCCTGGAGAAAACACTGACATTTTTCAAGCCATTTAAACAGCAGCTCCTGAATAAAGAGATCAGCTTCCCTTTGAGGCTTGGCAAGGAAATCCAGTCATCATCATAGCCTTGAAACCTTCCTTTTTGATAAAGCTTATAGTTAGGTCTTGATCAGGTGACCCCAAACCTTCCTTTAGTTGCAACACTGCTACTGGGGGCTTCCCATGATGCTTCTTCACTCCCCGTTTTCCCTCTCTATGTGTTTATAGACCATTCTGCATTTAATAATTAGTTAGTATTAACCTCTGACTCTCCTCTACAGCTTGTCTTTTGTCCTGTCTCCTTCCCCTCACCCCCACCCACAAACTGGTCAAAACAGCTCTTGCCAAGTGTTTGCTTATAGGGGTCATCTGATTGTTGGGCTTTTTTCTGTATTACTGTAGGATTTTACCTTATAATATATGACACCTTGAGGCGACTGTTGTTATTATTTGATGAAATATGAATAATTTAATATTTTTTTCTTTTTCTTTCTCTTCTCTTTTTATTACTTTTGTATAGTTTTACCACCGCAAGCTTTGATGTTATTTCAGTGAAACCACAGGGTAACTTTAGAGGGGAAATCACACTTGTGACAGCTTATGAGCATCTGATGGGACTGCAAGCAAAACACATTGAAAGTGCTGATTTTATTCTTTAACACCACATTGTTTTATAATCCTCTTAGACTGAGTTAGATACTGAGGACTGGAAACAACTAGTAGATATGTCAGATAAAAAAAAAAGTACTTTCTATTCTGAAATTTGTTGCAGTATGAAGTGGGATAAAGCAGCAATGGTCAAGTGCCTCTAGATGCTCTTTCAGTTGCTGCTTTAGAACAGATGGTCTACACCGTATTGATTACCGCTATATTCCAGTCCGCAGCTCTGTGTGTGTTTATCAGTGTGTATTTTCTTCTTTCCTGTTTATGCTGGTTTCTCCCTGTAGGTGCCATCAATTATTGGCTTCCACTGCTGAGTGTCTCTCCAACACCTGATTGGCAGATTTTAATCTTGAGGGAATAAATCACCAGTCAGAGCAGATCTCAAGTATGAGGGTCCTCTCTCCTCTCTGCCCTATCTGTCTGAATTGTTGACACTGCACTGGCAATTTAGATGCATTTTGTAGACCATAGGAAGTAGATAATGGAAAATGAAGGGATGAAGGCAAATTCTGGTGCCCTTTTTATTTTCATTCATGCACCAGTGTGTTTTTTAGTCTTTCCTTGGGGTTTTCAGGTGAAACAAGTCATTGTGTATTGTAGATTGTTTATCAAAGATGGTTAACAGATTTGTTTGTTAAAATAGCAAATCCTTTTAATCAAACAAAACGTCACGTGGCTAGCCATTAGTCATCGTGATTCAGGATACGTTAGGAGTGGCCTCATCGTGAGCTCAGCAGCTACTGAAGATGCAATCTGTGTTTCATTGCTGCCTGCTGATTATTAGATCGTTCAGTAAGACAGTTGGAAACAAACTGTACGCCAAAATCATGTTTGATACCACATGCGTTTTAACTTTCACAAAAAAGACATCAGGGAAACAAATAAAGTTTCTATACATATGTATTTGTAATTTATGGCAAAGCTGTCCAGTGTCAGTCGTTCTATGTGAAAATAAGTGATGCAAATCAGCCTTGAGCCCATGTTAATCAGCATGAGTGTGTTCATACATATTCATATTGTGCCTCACAGTCAGTATAAAGAAAGTGCCCCACTCCCCAGTCATTTTTTTCCATAAAGGCTGTACAGTATTTAGGTAGCACATGCATGCAGCAGACACTCATATATATTCTGTATGCAGTACGAGGATGCAGTCACAGTCCTTTTTCTAATTTCCAACACTGACAATGAGGAGACTGCTGAAGTAACCATGGAAACTACTGAGGCCTGCAAGGTTGTCCTGGTAACTCGGTGAATGAGGGGATTTGAGATGAATGTAATTCCCTATTTACACTGTTCAGGGCCACTACTTTAATAGGTTTGTTAATGTTACAACACTGATAATTGATACAGAAATCTCAGGTGAGGAAAGATAGCTGAAACATTTTTACTGAAATCACAGTTTCGATAAAAACACTGGCACTCCCTTTTCAGGGAGTCACACACGCTTACTTAGAGGAGGAGAATAATGGCTGAAGCAGCAGCATTCTAATGGGTGTAATCAGGTAGCATGAAATCTCCTACACACCCACTGTTTACCCTCGCAACCTTTCTGATTCCTGGACTGTGAGAATGTGTGTAGGTTCCTTTCCATGACTCAGTCCTTCTGTTCACTTTTACCCATGCTTTTGTGTGGCCTAAGTGTGTTAGGGTTCATATTTTGTCTTTAAAAAATGATCTGTACTGCCTTCAATAGGATCAAACAGGGTTTGAAAATGTAATAACATAAAAACACAATAATATACCAAACACCAAAAATCTATTTCAAAAGTGGGCAAAACTCACCGAGGACATTCACGATGATATTTGCTTGAGATTGTCCATCAACGTCGGGCAAATTGTGAACTTCACACGTGTAGAGCCCAGAGTCCGATGGTTGCATGTTTGTTATAGTTATGGAGGCATTCATGGTGGCCCCTGGAGCAGCTGGAGTTTGAATCCTGCCTTCGTAAGACTTGGGAATAACAACCTTTCCTGATTGATAGTAAAAGATCTGAAAGCAAATGGCAAGAAGTCAGATCAGATCATCTGTTGGCTATCACTGCACAAACTCACTGTCCTCGAGCTAGTTTGCATGAGTGATCCAAATAATTGGAGAGATGAAACCTTTGGTTCTCTAGTTAATATGATATTTACAGGACCGACGTTTTTTTTTCTTTTTTTTTCACATCAGTATGTAGTAGATGTCTTTAAAAGCACTTTTTGACATTGCATGAAGCAGCACATTTGTGAGTCTGTGGCTGTAGGTTAAATGAGCACTGCCTGAAAGATATTTGTCGATCTCAGTCACAGGCTTCGCGATCCAGACTGGGTGTGTCTGCTAGCTGGTAAGAAAACGTGGC